GGGAGGTGGGGGCAGACTGAGGGGCAGAGAGAGAGACAGAGAGAGGGAAAGGGTCTTGGCCGAGCGCATCTGTTTCCCCGGACACCAAGCCTGCCACCAGGGTCTCCGTTCCCACCCATGTTCACCCACAGCCCAGGGCATGCTTCTTTTCTTTTATTTTTTTTAATAATATATTTTTGTTGATTTCAGAGAGGAAGGGAGAGGGAGAGAGAGATAGGAACATCAGCGATGAGAGAGAATCATGGACCGACTGCCTCCTGCAGACTCCCCACTGGGGATCGAGCCCGCAACCCAGGCATGTGCCCTTGGCTGGAATCGAACCTGGGACCCTTCAGTCCATAGGTTGAGGCTCTATCCACTGAGCCAAACCGGCTAGGGCATGTATTTTGAGTCAGTTTGGTTGCATACATCCATGTAGGGTCCTCCGTGTTCCTACAGAGAAACTTCCAGAACCCCCTGAGGGCCCAGTGTTGTTGTTTTTGAAATATTGTATTGATTTTTTTTATAGAGAGGAAGGGAGAGGGATAGAGAGTTAGAAACATCGATCAGCTGCCTCCTGCACACTCCCCACTGGGGATGTGCCCGCAACCAAGGTACATGCCCTTGACCTTGACCGGGATGGAACGTAGGACCCTTCAGTCCGCAGGCTGACGCTCTATCCACTGAGCCAAACCGGTTTTGGCTGTTGTTGTATTTTAGATCCTTGTGTATTCTGTGCCCACCACAGGGTCCCCTAGATCCTCATGTGGGCCCGATAGGATTGTATGTCCCCCCAATAGCCCATCCGTGGGTCTGTTCCGCTGGATTTGCACACCAGCCAGGACTCCGCTATATCAGGTGCCCCAAGGTGCAAGGCATCCATGGAACCCCAAATCTCCTGCACAGTGCACCCGGGAGCCTGCTGTCTCCTGGCCGTGCACCCGCATTCCGTGGCCCTCCCTGAGCACCGGGCGCGCTTGCAAGTGGTGGGGGCCGAGAAAGATCCCGGCCCTGTGGCTGAGGCAAAGGAGAAAACAAGATAAACAAGCAGAATATACGGTCCATCAGATGGCCACGCTCAGGGCTGAAGAGGAGACAGGAGCAGGGAAGGGAACCGGAAGTGTTTGCGGAGTGCGGTATTTTAGATACAGTGCCGGCAGGAAACAGGAAGTGCGAAGGCCCCGAGTGGGATTGTGCCAGGTGGGCGGGCGGTAGGAGCGTGGAAGGGGCCAGTGTGGCTGGCGGGGCGTGGGGGTGGGGGTGACACCAAAGGAGGTGAGGACGTATTGGCCCTTAGAAGTCCTGGTTTACTCCGGGTAGTCTGTAATTATTAATAGGGCCTGCCTTTATTCTCAAGTGTCTTTGCCATTAAATGGAAAATTATAGGATTCTCCTATCTAGAGGTCATTGTAACCTGAAACCTATATGTGCATGTTAACCAATATGATCCCAATAAATTCAATAAAAAAATAAAAGTAAAAAAATACATCTTCAAAAAAAGGTCATTGTAAAGACTATGGCTTTAAAAAAAAAATCCTCACCTGAGGATATGTTTATTTTAGAGAGAGAGGAAGGCAGAGAGAGAGGGAGAGAGAGAAACATTGATGCAAGAGAGAAGCATCTATTGGTTGCCTCCTGAATGCACCCTGGCTGGGGTTTGAACCCAAACCCTAGGTATGTACCCTGATGGGAATCGAACCTGCAACCTTTTACTATATGGATGCTCCAACCAACTGAGCATCCAGCCAGAGCAAAGCTATGGCTTTTATATGCTATCTGGGAACACCATTTAGACCACTATCATATTATACCTATATTCATATATATATAATGTTATATATAGCTACATGTGCATATATACTATATGGTATGATGTATAATTTTATATGTAAATATGCATTATCTATAGATAGGCTTGTGCATAGGTGTAGTATGTAGGCATTGTAGGCCCTCAGAACCTGTGAATACATCACCTTCCAGGGCAAAAGAGACTTTGCAGATGGGACTTGAGTCAAAATAATCCAGATTATCTGAGTGGCTCTAAATGTAATCACAAGAGCCCTTAGGAGAGGGAGGTGGGAGGTTCGAAGTCAGGAGATGGGACAGGGAAGCAGAAGGGATGTGGCCACAGTCCAAAGAATGCAGGCGGCCTCCACGAGCTGGACAAGGCAAGAAGGTAGGTTCTCTCCTGGAGGTCCGGAAGTCACACAGTCCAGCTGACACCTTGATTTTAGCCCAGTGCAAGTCGCCGAGTCCAAAACCCATTTAGGACTTCTGATCTCCAGAACGGTAAAATAATAAATCTGTGTTGTTTTAAGCTACCAAGTTTTTCAGTGATTTGTTAATAGCAGACATAGGAAGGAAGACAATAGGGTGCCCATGGGTTCAGACCTGTGTCTGATAGTTATCCTACTACAAACACACACACACACACACACACACACAACACTCATGCTCACACAGGACCTACTAGTATATGTTTATCTTCCCATCTCAGCCCAAAATATCGACCTGCACACCCCAGTCCCAGCAGCTCAATACATTTGAGATGGCCTAGGGTTTCCTTAAGCCCAGCCCAAAACAAACACTTCTGCAGACCAGGCCTGCAGGGGCTCATTCCCAGCCCCGAGCTCTGAATCTGGTGCATGGAGGCTGCGAGCTTCCTAGACAAACTTGCCTGGGCATTTTGCTTCAAGAATCCCCCTCCTCTGCCCCTGGCAGGACCCAGGGGAAATTTTACGGGGTAGAGCGGGGTGAGAAGAAGGGTCTGCACAAGCCCGGTTGGTACAGCTC